TTTTAAGGTCATTCTCTTCTGCTTCATTTGCATTGGAATGTTGGAGTCTTGCTGGTGTGGAGTCTCTAGTATCTGCTGGTGCCATATTTGTTTTTCTGTTGCTGAGTGTGTTTTTGTATTGTCTCTTTCCTATCTCTTCTTCTAGTGAGTGCATAAAGAGCCCCTTACTGGTCTGGGGGTTAGGGGACCAGAGTTCCCTTTTGGTGGGTGCTAGCAAGTCCAATAATCTGGTAGTTCTTCTATTCCTTGTCCTCGTTCTGGTCCTGTGGGCAGAGAAGAAGACCGGGAATCTGGGGTGCTTAGCCTCCCAGCTGGTCCCCTGGTCCCTTTGCTGGATCTGCTGGTTTCCCAGTTTCGCTGGTGGGAGAGAAGACCTGGAATCTGGGGTGCCTGGCTCCTGCCGGGATTGGAAGCTCTGTGCAGTTGCCATGCGATCCCCAGGCACTGGAACCCAGGCCTGGATGCGGGGCCTGTTTTACCTGGTCCCGCCGGAACAGCTGGTCCCTAAATTTTACTTTTGTAGGGTTCTTTTTCTTCTTTCTATGCAGGACATTTTCATTTTTCAGTATACTTAGTCACAGCTTCCACATGCGTGCTGTGTGTGGTCTATGTTTAATGCTCTTGGGAAGGGTTTCTCTGTAATTTTGGCTTCCGGTTTTCACAATGCTTTGTAATTTACTTTGTTTAACTCATCAGTCCATCTCAGATTTATTTTCATATGAAAATGCAGTATTATAATCATATAGATAACTGTCTTGCCACTTGTGAAGTTTTTTTTCTTTTGTGTGTGTGTGTGTGTGTATGTGTATGTGTGTTTATGCTTTTGTTTTCTGTCATATTGAGGATTGAATTTAGGACCTGTGCCTTCTGGGTACCATTGAGCTATATTTTTAACCCAGGCTATATTTACAGAGACTCATCTTTCTCACCTGTGTAATAGGGATACTATTATGTACCTTCTAGAGGGACAATGAAGGTTAAGCTATACAAATCCTGGACTGATTCTTACAGTTTGATATTACTTCCTTCTTATTCCTGGATTAAAATGAGGCAACTTTCCTTCAACCTGCACACGAGGCAGAAATGAACCATGGCTTCTGCTGGAAGGCTGTGGAAGTGGCTGGGATACGTGTAACTCTGACACTGTGCTGGATTTGTGCCAAGTGCTCTGGATTCTCAGATGACTACTGAAGAGTAGTCACTGTTTTTTAGGACATCTGTATTGATAACCAGAAGGCAGGGAACATCGCAGAAGAAGGGGTGGAGGGGGGTGGGGAGGATTACTAAGAAATGCTGTCTTCTGCCCATGGCAGGCATAGCTACTGCACCCATGAACTTACAGCAGTTATGGCTACCTGCACAAGATCTATATAATATCAAGCCAATCAACTTTCTAGAGAGGCTGGGGGAGGGGCTCATGAATCCCATTACAAGTTGAAATGATCATGCCAGTTGATGGCTTTTGGGGGAGGGGGTGCCTCTCTGTGGTTGTGGCCACTGGTAGGTTGCCCATGCCTCAGAGGATCACCTCATACTCACACATATTTAGCCTCTGGTATATGGCCAGCATCTTCCCTATGTGGTTCAGCTTCATATGGAAGGTGCTTGTACTCACTGTCTGTCGGTTTCTTTAGCACAGACTAATCTATTGGCAGAAGCTTTCCTATCCTCTAGTTGCTCTCAAATAAACACACTGAGGTTTATATTATAAATGCTCGGCCAATAGCTCAGGCTTATTACTAACTAGCTCTTACATTTTTAAGGTAACCCATATTCCTCATTTTCACTGTGCCACATGGGTGGTTACTTTATTAACATGACACATCATCCCTTGCTCCTCATGTTGTCTGGCTGCAACTCCAGGCTTCACCCTTCTTCCTTCCAGCATTCTCCTAGACTAGCCTTCCTGCCTAATCTTATTCTGTTCAGATACTGGCCAGTCAGCTTCTTTATTAACCCAATCACAGAGACATATATTCAGAGTGTAAAGGAATACTATTCCACCGCAGTAATCCTTATGCCAAAGTGGTGCATGTTGGACTCGGTGTTCTCCTACCCTTCTTTTTGGAGTCCCATCTTCTATGTGTTCCAGCCTCTCCTGTCCCTCCTCCCCAGACCTATAGCAGCCTTGGGTGAGGCACTGCTTGCTGTGTGTCACTCCATCATGTCCCACAATTCACCGCAGCTCCCCGACTCCTCCCACCCAGAATTCTCCCACCCTTTCTCACACACACAATTGTCATGTTGATTTCTGGGTTATATCATGCAGGCAAACACTGTTTTTTTGTTTTGTTTTATTGTAGTTATATATTAGTGTGGAAAATAGATTCTTATATTAACTTTATTTTTGAAATAATTGTCTCAATCTGTTACACTAATCCCTGTCTGCTAGCTTCTTTATTATAATCACTGAAGTATAAAGAGTGAACTACCCAGTTCATGGGACTTGTCTGCAACACAACCTGTCACCCGCTTTAGGCATGTTAGTGAGCCCTTACCAGTGTTTTAAAATTGGCTTTGCAGCATATCCTTTCTTTTGGAATCTGTGTACAAGGAAAGCTTGGGTATATACCTTGGATTATTAAGAATATTTACCTTGCTGTGTTCCATTGTAAGTTCAATGGTATTTGAGGCTATTTTCCTCATAATAAAGCACCTGGTCTTCACTCTGTAGTAGAGCTTATTGTACAATTGGAGAACACCTTTTTGATCAAATCATCTCTCAAGCCTCACCATCAGGGACCATGTGGTACTTGCTTCCTTCTCACCCTTATCCTCTGACAGCTCCCCACAGCACTGGATTCACCTCACTTGGGAGAATGAGGCACATTTCTGGGGGTTTAGGAAGGTATGAAGCATGGGGGGCCATATAAAATGAGTGTAGGTATGCAATTACATGGGCTGTGAGATCCAGTCTGAATAAAAGCTGGGGAAAGAGAAAATGGGCATACATTCTTTCTCCACTCCCTGGTCAAACATGATAGGAACTGAAGTGCTTCTCATACACCCCACACGAATCAAAACCAGTCCTTACTCAGTTGTAAGTCATTTCCACCAGACATTTTGGTCAGAGCAGTGAAGTAACACAGACATCCAATTCTTCTGTCCCACTGTTGCCTTTGCTAGGTCTAATTTATTGTAGCAGACACCATTCTCCTTTAGTATATTCCTAGATTTGTCCCTTTGCAATAGACAGTGTCAACCCTATTTTCTTCAAATTCAGGTGTGAATGCACTACCCCCTCCCCCCACTGGTCTCTGTGTTCCAGTTTGTTTCTGAGGGGTGATGTAGTAGTACAAACCCCCATGGCTGTGTAACACCATCACTTGAACAGGACATCCAGACAGTACGAGCCTACTGCAAGGGAAATCTATTCATTCAATAGGACCAGCAAACAAAAATGGGGGATGCTGGATCTCAGCTGACTTTCCTCTTGCCCTACTTTTATTCCATTCAAACCTGCATCTTATGGAGAGGGTGCCACTCAAAAACAGTGTGGGTCTCCCCTTCAGGTCTCTTTGAGAACACACTCAACACACACCTTGGCATGCCTCAATAGCAATCTAAGTTGACAACAGGGTTACCCATCAGAGGAGAGTTTCCTAGGCACCACGGTCCCAGATGAATTCAGCATCTCACAGGACAGGGCAGTATCAGGATTCAGGGCTTGGTCACCCCTGCATGGTACAATTAGGACTCTGAGCACCTTCCCTTTACTGACCTCTGGGCTGGAAGCAATCTCAACTCCCAAAGCCCAGATATGGGGCAGTGTCTGGAGACACCTTAGGTCCAGGGGACTGATGTCAGAGATGGATGCTGCTGGTCACTCAGGCTATCCCAGGACGATGAAGGATCTGTGACCCAAATGCCCTTGGTGCCCACTTCAGGAAGCCTGCTCCAGGTAGAAGCCAGGGAGGGCCTGGCTAGCACTTGAAGCCACCATAGATGTCCCTATGTTGTCTCATCACCCCAAGTGTTCCTGCCCAGAACAAGAGTAAGCATGCCTAGGTTTCATACCTGCCTTGTCCCTGTGTTCCTTTCTCCACTGGAGTGAGCTGCTGCTCTCAGTTTTCTGTCCTCAGAGAATCCCCAGAGGCATTGTGAACTTGAGTCCCACTGCTGGTCTAAGCCTGCTGCTTTTTTGTTGTTTGGGCCTTTTCTTTCCCAAGATCAAAAACATATTTGTCTATATTTTCTACAAACACTTTAATTAAAAACTCTCAGCTGGTCAGTGGGGCTCCTTTCTTGAATCTCAGCAGGAGCAGGCAGATCTCTGTGAGTTCAATGTCAGAAAGCTCTACGGAACAGGCTGGCTTTGAACTCACGACATTCATAAGGATCACCTTAAACTTGTGATTCTCTGACCTCCATATCTCAAGTGCTAGGATTCCAGCAAGGGCTCACACATCTGGTTTGAACTCTGTTCATGCAAAACTGAGGGATCAGCTTAGACCATTATGTATGGTAAGTCAGCTTGTGGCCACCTGAGCTAAGGCCACAGTCCTATAAGAGTCTTTCTAGACTCACTCTGTAAAGTTACAGCTTCCATCTGCTGACAGTTTCTTCCTGTGAATTGTGTCAGAGGGAGTGCCTTTCTTTCCTGTGGATCAGCTGAAGGAAGGACATGTTTGCAGTACCAGGCCTCTGTCCCCTCTGTGCTGCTCCCTTGACATCTGGTGTCTTCATGTGCAAGGACGCTTTCTCCCTGTGGCCTGTAGTGAATTAGTGTGGCTCCTGTGTTGACTCTGTCAGTCACTGACCACTCTCCCTCCCTCCACGTAAACCACAGCTTCTTATCCTATGCCCAGCACAGCTTCTCCCAGCTCCACATAGCCTCCCTGTTAGAACTTCCCCAGGAACCCTGCTGCTGAAATGCACCAGGACCCATCCCCCAGTGAGGAAATGTCCTGAAGAGGTCACACAGTGCTCCTGTAATGTTTGGGGGTCACTTCCACTTTATGATTTAGAACCCAGATAAAGACAGACCAGGCCAGCACAGATTTTAAGTAAAAGCAGTAAAGTTTAATTAGTTAAAAACAAGTGTTGGCCAGGCATTAGGGTCAGCATCATTTCTAGGAACCAAGTCCTGAGAACTTGGGAGAAGTGACCAGATGCTCCCTGTGCACATCCCATTGTGCCTTCAAGCACGGAGCACAGAGTCCTCTGCCCAGCACCAGGTCAACTTCCAGCCAGCATTGGCAGCTCAGAGATCCACAGGGCGTGGAGTCCCCATCCATACCTGCTCCACAGGCACCTCCAGATCAGAGTCACCTGAGGGGCATGCTGCACTGGGAGGCCAGGGGAGGGGTTCAAATGGACAAGAGGTCTTTAGAAGGACAATCTGTAAGGGGGCAAGAAAGTCACAGCTGTACCCAGGAAGGGAGGAGGCTCAGGACACAGGAAGCCAGGCTCACAGAAACGGATCCTCTGAAGCTGGGACCTCAGTCCAGCAAGAGGCACTGCTAGACTGGAGACCTGGGGGACAAGCAGAGAAGTAGCTGCACAAAATCTCCACTGAGGGCTCAAGGGACAGGGACCTGAAGGGCTACCAATACCTAGGTGGGACCAAGGAGACACTGCTTAGTGAATCCCTGCAGAACTGGGTGCTGGACCCAAAGGCTGTGCTCCAGCCAGTCCAGCTCCAACCCTGCCCCTGGACCACTCTCTCCTCAGACAGGTAGAGCTGCTACCAAGTTGGGGAAGATGCCCAGTGTAGGTTCTCTTGGGCCAATACCACCCAGCACTCCAGTGTGATGATACTGGAGAGACAAAGTGACTAGGTTCTAGTCCCATCACTGCTATTCCAGGGCTCTGTGGTCTCAGGACCTGCATTCTGATACCCAGAGTCTATTTGCTTAGCTGTGACATGGAGCACTGGACACATGGAATTGTTTCCAGGACTGAGGGTGACTCTGTGCTTACTGTGGGGTCAGCTCACAGCACTTACATCCAACATAGAATGGTGAAATGTGGCCATACAAGGAAAGCCCAGGGAGAGTCACAAGAACACTCTTCCTACACAGAGAGAAAGCCTTCTGGTGCCTGTCTTACCGAGTTCGGTCTCCACCTCTAGGACCAGGTGTTCTGTGTCCTCCAGCTGCAAGAGAGGAAGAGCCTTCAGGATCCTGGGTGACACACATCTAGCCATCTCTAAGACAATGACCATTCTGACTGGCACCATAACAAAGAAGAAAGAGGAAGAGGAGGATTGGTGTGGGAATTCTATAGCCAGAGGGAAGCATTACTTCCAGAGATGCCCCACTAGACACAGATACCACATGTGTTCACAGATACATTCTCCCTCTCAACCTGTCCCCACTATGCCATATTATCAGCCTCCTGAAGTAGAGAGGTCAACAGCAAAAATATCTTCAACAACTCCCTGAAACTCAAAAGATTCACTAGGCCCCTCCATGCCACAGGAAGCAGAGCCAGGCAGCAAAGACTCTCACACACAAAAAGCCACCCAGCCAAGCAGAAACCAGAGAAGCTGCCTAGAAGGGGTTCAGCCCTAATGAGGCAGGCTGTGCAGTGTGCTCCAGGGTCCCAGCTTTGTGAGCCTTCTGTCATCAGTGCTGGGTGTCCTTTGGTGATGCAGCTGTCTTTGAGTCATTTCTGCTCCTGTAAGTGATCCCTCACCCTCACCCATATTCCTATAAGTGACCACAATAAAACTCATTGCTTCACCAAGATGAACTTTCTGGTATCTGTACTTTGGTCCGTTGTAGATTCCTTACCTAGGGTGAGGAGATGAGTATCTTTCCTCTCCCCAGGAACATTTTTATCACACTAAAACACTCTCCAAATCCTCTACCAAAAATGACCCTGTTAGATCCCTTGAAGGAAGAGTGAATGAAGGAGAGGTAAGAGTTTCCCTGGGGAGAGCTTGTCCCTCCCCTCATCAGCTGCAGCTCTCAGGAGAGTGGCCCCTCTGCCACACCTGGACAACACAGTAGAGCTGGCCCTAGGTGCAGCCTTGGGAGATCTGACCCTGAGGACATGAAACCAGGAAAACTGGCCCTGGCCATTTCTCATCTCTACAAGAGATGAACTAGTCAGGGAAGTACTGAAGAACTCAACCTATGAATGAGGACAAGGGAGAGATCACAGGCTGACTAACCCTACCATTGCTCAGACCTGGTAACAGGGTTATGAGGTGGTTCACCCGACCATCCCCACCATCTGGGATCTGCTGGAGCACTTGAAGGGAGCAAACTGAAGACTCAAAGCTACAGGATTTCTACTACACAGGACACCCACAGGATAACCAAGAGGAGTTCCAGCGAGAGCCCTGCATGGACAGTGTAGCAGAAACCAAAGAACTCAAAACAGACAATGAGTTTCTGTAGTGAACATTTGCAGGTAAACATATATGGACTCGAGTGTTCCCCGCATGACTCTCTGTGTCACTTAACAGTTTCCATGATGAGGTTTATTTTTTCTTATCCCCCTTTTCTTTTTTTTCTCAAATTGTATTGTATTGTATTATATTGTGTTGTATTGGGGGAGGGGTAGCTTGCAGAGGATGGATAAGTAGGGACAGGGAAGTGAAGCAGATGGAGATGTATGATGTGAGAGACAAAGAATAAATGAAGGACAGGAAAATACTTCCTGGGGGGGTGGGAGAGGATGAAAAGCATTTGCATCTGACACCCACCTGCTGCAGCTTTCACTGGGAGATACCACACACTTACCTGGACATGTTCCTCTATTATCCAGAAGCTTGAGTCTGCCCCATTGTATGAAAACAGAGAATTTGTGTGCCACTCACTGGGGAGACACGTCAAACTTGAGAAGAAGTGGGACAGGAGTTCTGCGCAGCATTCGCCCACCCGACACAACCTGACTTTGATGGAGGCTCGGTGCTGAGGGGAGTAGAGGGGAGAGGCACATTAGGGACAGATACCTTTAGTCATGCCTGGATGCTGCGCTAACTGTTTTATGCAAAGGTCTAGATGAGAGGTTCCAATAGCCATAAACACAGCCCTGTCTCCACCACCTGTGTCTTCCCAGGGCCTGGGATGTCTGCTGCTCTTCTGCCTGGTCTGACCCTGACCTCCCTCTGCCCATCCCTGCTCATCCCCAGCTTCTCCCACACAGTAGCCACAGTCTCCAGACACACAGCGCCTTTCACAGATCGTCAGTTGGGCCCTGGGAATCTGTCTCAGCCATTTCCAGAGTTTTAATAACTCTCCTTTGAAAACTGAGACGTATTATGTGAGATGGATCCATTGGTTAAGTTATGTATGTGCCAGGGTGTGGAAACCTGAGATGGGAGGACCACTGGGGTTTCCTGACTGCAGTCTAGCTCCAGATTTGGTGAAAGATGCTGTCTCGGGGCATAAGGTAGAGAGTGACAGAGCCAGTCACATGAACATTCAACAAGCCTAAAGCATGTGCTCACAAACACACACACCAGGCACAGGGGCAATGGCTGGAACCAAAGACATGCAGTGTAATGTTGATGGTGAGCTTCATGTGCCTTTAGTAATGCAAAACAGAAACCTTAGCCAACACAGAAACCTACAAAGTCAAAAAGTAGCCATAGGCAGGCATGATGTTGCCTGCCTTTAATCTCATCACTCAGGAGAGAGAGGCAGGCTGATCTGAGTTTGAGATCAGTCTTGTCTACATTATGAGTTCCAGGACAGCCAGGACTGTTACACAAAAAAAATCTTGTCTTGAAAATCCAAGGAAAGTTAGACCACAGTGCAGGGAGCATGTCACAGACTCCCTATTTGTGTCCTGTCTTCCTGTGAATTCCTGCATTTCTCTTCACCTGTCACACTGTGGAAGGTCACTGTCCTGGTTGTGGTCCTTACAATTTTTGAGAATCTGTCCACCTGTGGGTATTCGGACTTTAGGTAGGGAGGGAAGGGAGATAGCAAAGAAGGGACAGGGACCCACATTGTCGTGTCACCTGCTTTTGTAGTAAATGACTTTTTACTTGAAACTCCATTGTCTCTGGATGCTTTGCACCGAGGTGGACCAGGGAGTGTTCCCAAGTCCTCAGAATCTGCAAAATGAAAAGCTTCCCTCTGAGGCCTCTGATTGAAAAAAACCTCCTGATCCTTGCTGAGATCTCACTGAGAAGTTCCTGTGTGAGTTTGAGCATTCTGGGAGTATGTGAGTGTGTGAGAGCATGAGAATGTGTGTGAGAGTGAGTGTGTGATGGAGAGAGTGAGTGTGAGTGTGTGTGTGTGTGTGTGTGTGTGTGTATGTGTGATGCATGTATGTGACAGTCTGAAAAGGACAAAGGAGACTCAGGTGTCTGCTCCATCACTTTCTCCCTCATGTCTTTGAAGTAGGGACTCTGACTCCACCCTCACAGCACTGAAGTTATGGGCAACAGAGACACATGGGGCTTTTATGTGGCTGCTGGGATCATAATTCGGGCCTATGGTTTTTGTTTGTTTTTAAGATTTTTTTATTTGATTTTGTATTTGTAACTTATTTGAGGCAGGATTTCTGTGTGAACCTGACTTTCCTAGAACTGACTAACTGGGCCATGTGGCCATGAACTTAGAGATCTGCCTGTTTCTACCGTGTGTGTGTGTATGTGTGTGTGTGTGTGTGTGTGTGTGTGTGTGTGTGTGTGTAACAATTCAGACTACTTCTGGTATGGTAACAAAGAGAGAGACAGAGAAATAGAAGGATGGAATAAAAGAAAAAGGAAATGAGGAAAAAAGAAGGGGAGAACAATGCTTGGTCTGTTGTCACAACCTGAAATCCCAAATGACTCAAGAGCCAGTTCAAATGACATTGCATCAATAACTGTAGAGGATATGTCCCTTAGCAACAGCTTTGCCTGGGACCTCAGGTTGATTCTTTTACAGGAGCCATCAGATTCTCCTCACCCTTTTAACTCAATTGCCCAAGAAGCTGTTCCAGAAGCTGCATCTGCCCCTCTAGGCACACGTGGATCCAACAGCTACTTTAACCCAAGGCTGCGCAGAAGCAGGATGATGGGAGACATGTGACTCTAATGAATTTATTGACTGCACAAACTTTCTCATGGAAGCTGTCTCATTTATATCAACCTGCACTAAGAGAATTCCTTTCTCAGTTTTTTTTAACTGAAAATATTTGGTGCTAAAACTTTCCATAGTTTATTTGGTATAGTTTTTAAAAAAACACATCTACATGAATATTATAATTTTTGGTGCTATAGACAAATTGCTCCTTGTTTGTTTCCAGCCTCGGAGGAACTGGGGTTCAATAACATATCAAAGTTGGCCCCAGATGAAGGGGGAAAAGGATGAAAAATGAAGGACATGACTGCTCCTAGGTATGGAGGAGGAGAAGGTTTATTGTAGATAAAAGGGAGAGCACAGGCAGAGATGGAGACATCTGGGTGAGTTTGGAGTGAACATGACTGTGAGCCTGGCCACGTGAGGAGAGGAGCGGGGAGAGGAGATGACGACCAAGTGGGGTGGCCTAGGCCAAGAAACTGGCACAGACAAAACGGCTGAGTTTTAAAGGAAAGAACCAGAGGAGGTGGAGTGTGGTGGGAATATTGGGAGGCCCAGGACTTGGGGAGGACAGTTCAGGGTAGACATAAGTTAAGCCTGCCAAAGGTCAAACCTGCAGAGAATGCAGTTTGCTGGGAGAACCTGGTGGCCAGAGGCCACATTGATATGTTAATAGACACCATAGTGATTTGTCCCAGGTGTAAGACCAAATACCACTCAGGCAGGTACCTGGCAGAGGACACTTGGTATCTGCCACACCTACACTAGAAGTTTGCTTTCAAGTGACATCTCTGGTACTTGAGTACCAGTTTTGATACCTAGAAATGCTTTTCCTGCAGGATCACAGGGCAGTATGGCCTTGCTGGATCCATTGTAGTCTAAATCCACACCCTAGAGCAATTTTCAGGGTGATATCAACCCCAACACACACACCTTAGCACACATAGACTACACAAAAGGTCAAGATGCAACCTCCATGGAGTCCCAAAACTCACCTTGTTAATAAATGGGTGGTGGAGAGTAAATCCCAGGCCTACAACCAACCAGAGCCTCTGGTTCTCATCCCTGTAGTAACCAGGCGTTTCCATTGTGAGAGTGACTGGGGGATACTGGATAGTACTAGCCATAGTGAGGAAAGCAAGGAGCTGGTGGTTCCCGAGAACTAACCACGGGTTGCAGCAGGGGCTGAGACAATAATGAATAAGAAACCCAGTTCTTCTCCAGCTTGGTCAGGAACCCATTTCCTAGAAACAGCTGCCCGGCTTCACCAGGTGTCCTGTATCCTCAGGCTAGTCCCTAGAGGGCTCTATGTTGACCCTGCCCAGACCCTCAGGGATTATTTCCTCCACCTCTCCCACATGTTTCCATCAGGAACCTGGCTGACGCCCCTGGATCTAGGACAGTGGCCCTCAGCCTACCTGATGCTGCTATCCTTTAATACAGTCCTCAGAGTGTGGAGACCCCCAACCACAAAATGATTTTTGTAGCTACTTCATAACTTCAAGTTTGCTACTGTTGTGAAACGTAATGTGAATACTTAGGGAGATAGATGTTAGCAAGAGGGTTGAAACCCACAGATTTAGAACCGAGGCTCTGGGGTTATCTGAGGAAGACATATCAGGGCTAAGTTTCACCTGGAAAACAAGCCCAACTTCCTCAGATGTTGTGACTGACTCTGCCAAGGGCAGCTTGGTTTCATGCTAACCTTGCCCTTGACCTGGAGTGTGACTGCCCAAGGGGCCATCTCCTCAGCCCATCTCCTCACTTTTCTGAGGCCACAGCAGGGCAGTTACAAAGCAGCCCTGTGAGGACAGCACCTGTGCCCTGAAGACCGGCTCTGTGTGTCCTTTTCCTTTTTGAGAACCTCAGACCAGATTCTTTTCATCCCACCCAGATCATGGGGAACACCTGTGTCTGTCAGCATTTCCCTCTCTCCCCCCCCTCGTCCTTCCTTTCTTTTTCTCTCAGAATGGTCTCATGTAGCCCATGTTGTCCTCAGATCCAATTGTAGTTGAGAATGACCCTGAATTCCTAGTCTCCCTGCCTCAGCTCCTCTAGTAATGGGATTCCATCTCCATGCCCAGTTCTCTTGGGGCTGGAGATACAACCCAGAGCTTACTTAGCACAGGCTAGCCCAGCATTCTGCCACCTAAGACTCATAGCTGCATGGAGACCTCTAGCTCCACGGCAGGCATTTCCTGCTTATTTTATGCCAACTTGACAGAGCCTAGGGTCATCTGAAAGTAGGGAGACAAAGTTAAGAAAGTGACTCCCTTACTTTGGTTTAGGCAAGGTTGCACTGTATTTTCCTCAGTACGGATTGATGGAGAGGGGAGAGTTCAGCTGGTGTAGATGTGACCAGCCTGTGCTGGTGATCTGGGTTCTGTAGCATGAAGATTTAACCACTAAGCAGCGCCCTTCAGTGACCTCTACTCCATGTCCTGCCTTCAGGTTCTGGTCTTGCTTGAGTTCCATGTATAGTTTTCTTCAGAGATCAACTACAGTGTGCAAGTGTAAGACAAGGAAACCTCCCCCAACATCCATGTGGTCAAGGTGTTTCTTTGCAGCAATAGTGACCCTAAGACACTAGGTACTGCATCTTTAGACTAGAGACTGCAGACCCCATTTCACAGATGAAGAAACTGAGGCATGGATGGTGTGGCCTGAGTGAGGTTGGTGGCAGTGGGATCCTGTGACTCACCTATTCTTGGCTCTGACGCTTTGCTGCCAATCTTAGCTGAGCCCCTAGAATTACTGGGTCACAGGGAGAGGCTGAGAATGTGTCTCTGGAAGGAATGATGTTCATGGAAGGTGGTCCTTTTGTCCTCTATCTAGTCATTGTCCCCACCATGGCTGACAGGAGGTAATGTATCCTGGCCAACTGGCCCCTCTCTGCTACCTGGCATGGAGAGATGTTGAGATGCAGCCCTCTGTCCATGGTGCTGCTCTTCCCCAGACATGAGCTCTGCCCTGCAATGCTGACCTCTCCCTGCAGAGGGAGCCCTTCCCAAGCCCCAGGAACTGAGTACAGGTGCATCAGCTGGGGTGGGGGTGATTACAGACCACAGACAGAGCCACTGTACTGGCCTTGAGGGACTAAGGGCAGGGCACACTGCTGTTGGCACACCTTGTTCTGACAGGAAGACATGAGGTAGAGAGCCTACACCATGTTGGACTTGGAGCTGAGGAAGCTGCACATTGAAATGCAGAGAGGACGCTCAAGGTGTTTAGAGAGCACACAATGTTGGGTGTCCTCAGGCTCCTAGGACAAAGGTCAGACAGTGTCCTGAAGCTCTTTGTCTGGGTAAGGATATGCTAATTCAGCAGAAGGAGGGGCATACCCATGTCTGCCTCTGGGCTTTGTTTCTATAGCAGGCAATTATTGTGCCTGTTTTTGAGCTGAAAGTTCTGTAACAACTATAGATTTAAAATCAGTCTTATAACTTACAGTGTTACCCGCCTCCCCAAGGTTCATTGTTCTTCCAGATCATCTGTAGCAGAGCCCAGATTTACCTCATAAGGAAGAGTTTATGTTAAAGTCACTGAAATTGGTATAAAGCAGAATATGGGTGAGTCTCACCCAATCAGTTGAAGGATGTCCCCAGAACAAAAATGCTGTCCTTAGTATGGGGTGTTGGCTCAGCCAGCAAAGGTGTTTGTCACTCATCATGAAGACTCAAGTTAGAGTCCTGGTTCTTATATGATAGTGAAGACCAGCTCTCAAAAGTTGTCATCTGGCCCCCAAATGTATACCATGATGTTCACACACACACACACACACACACACACACACACACACACACACACACACACACACATGCACAAACATACTGTGATGTCTTATTATAAAAAAATAAAAAATTTAAAGACCAATTTCCCTGAACTGCTTTGTTTTTTGTCAACTTGACACAAGCCAGGACTGGTGTGACAGAATCCAGGTGACTGTGCGTTATGACACCCATGTCCTGGTGGTCCTCGGTCTATACCAGAGCAGGCTGAACAAGCCAAGAGAAGACAGGACCCAGCGTACCTCCTAGCCTCTGCTTCATTTCCTGCTTCCAGGTTTCTGCCTAGAGCTCCAGCCTGGCTTCTCTCAGCAATGGAGTGTGTCCTGTAAGCCAATAGACCCTTGCCTTCCTCAAGATTGTTTTAGTCAGACTTTTTGTGACATCCGTGTAAAGCAATTGGGGATAGTCCCTGAGCCAGAGAGAACCTTCAGTGGCACAGCCTTCACAGTGGACACTCACCATCCACCATCTTGAGTCTGGCTGGCCCACTGCAGGTTTGGACTTGCTCTATCATCGTGTGTGCCAACTCCAATCTCAAATCCTCCTGCAGGCACACATGTCCCATTGGTTCTGTTTCTCTGAAGTATGCTGACTATTCAAATAGTCTCTATCCTGGACATTTCCAAGTAAAATTAGAGTTGTCACATTAACCACCTTATCCCAGGCCCAAAGCCTGATGGAATTCTGATTTGAACAATCAGAAACTCTGAGTGTGTATGAAAAGAATTAAGGGCTTCCCCATGTTGGAACCAACAATCTACATGTCTCTCTGAGGTTTACCCTGTCTCTAATATTATTCTGAGGTTTGGTACTGCCTATTTTTAGGTTTTTAGAGTCAGGCCCTTTAAATGTTACATTTTAAAATTCTGTGTTATGTGTACTTGCTGACAAGATGGATGTATCTGAATGGGGATGGCCTCAATAGGCTTGTATATTTGAATATTTATTCCCCCGTTGGTAAAACTGTTTGGGTTGGGTTAAGAGGTGTAGACTTGATGTAGGAGGTGTGTTCCTCAGGGCAGGATTGGAGTTTCAAATGTCCATCCATAATCAGTTGGCTCAATCTGCCTATTGCCTGGGGATTGTAAGAGGTAAGTTCGCAGCTACTGTTCTAGCTCTACGCCTGCCCATCTGCCACGCTCCCACCATGCTGGTCATGGACTAACACTCAGGAACCATCAGTCCTAAATTAAAAGCTTTTTTTGCAAGGTGCCTTGGTTGTGGTATTTTATCACAGCAAGAGAAAATCAACTAAGGTAAGAGACATAGAAATACTTGTTCCTGGTCCTGTTTCCAGAGAACTGGGGTGACAACATGACCATTATGCCCTGTTCTTTGTGGACAGACGCCTCTGTGTCTTCAATTACTCCAGGCTCATCCTCTCTCTCATCTTATGCCTTTACATCAGCTACTTCAAGCACAGGGGTGGGACAGAGCCAGCAAGCAGCTTCATTGAAACCTGGGTCTATTTCAGAAGGAAACTTTTTCATGCAGAAGGATTATTAGAATTAGAGCTCTCCCCTTAAATTGTTCAAGAGAAAACACCCATTGCTTAAACACTGATGAAAGAGTCTCCCGGTGGCCTGACTCTGCAGCCCTTGTCTGCCTGCCCGTAAGACACCTCTTCCCCAAGGCTCCCAATCGCAAAGATCCCACTGCCCATGGTGAGCTCTCCTTTTCCTGCCCTCGGCCCCCAACATACTTAGTCCTCTTCTGGCCCCTGGTCTGGATTTCAGCCAAGTAGGTGCTGTCTATCCTAAGAAGCACAGTTTGGAGTAGTTATTACAGTCTCTTTCCCAGCATCAGCCCGGCTTCCCCATTCACATTTCCCCATGGTCAGAAACGGGATCCAGACAAGATCTACCCACAGACACTGCCACCAGGATAAGACCTCCTGCTCTAGGATAAGATGGTCTACAAGCAAATCCAGAAACCACACTTTCTCCATTATCACTGGACACACCCTGCCCTTGAGAATGATGACCTCTTATCACCAGACAGGACCTTTCACTTTCTCCTTGCTCTGGTGAGAGACCATGAAGGGCGAGAGAGCTGGATGCATTCTGTGTGGCTGGAGGAACATCCTGGGTTAAGTGTACTTACCCCGGCCATTCCTGCTTCCCTAGGCTGTAACAGACAGAGAGTGTGCCTTTAGAACGCTGTTGGTATTTTCCAATTTCCAGTCAGTTAGAAAACCCAGGACTTCGGGGTCCAGCCTAAGAGAGGGGCGCCTGCCCCCCACCATTATTAAATTTCCTATATCCTTTCATTCAGCCTTCTGTTAAAGCACTGGTTTTCTCTATAGCTGTACCCCTTGAACATACCCAAGCTCTGCTCATTTCAATGCTAAGGTAGACTAGGCCTGCCTATTACTTGGAAGGGGAGCATTCCAGTGGTGAATGGGTTTCTATTGCCCGGACAGTACCCAGGCTGTGTATAGTTGCACTGGCCTGGCTTTCAGAAGGCAGTGGCCCTATCAACCAAGTACTTAAGAGTGTATAGTTTTGCTGTCCATACAAATGCATGAGTCCCACGCTT